TGTTTATGAGCAACTCTGCCTGTTTGTTTGCTTCAATTACAGTTCTCCTTTCTGCGCATGCTGCTGGCCTTGGCTGTCTTCTGTAACTCCTGTTCGCTTGGCTGTCTTCTGTAACTCCTGTTCGCTCTCTATTCCGTCCATAAATTTTATGTAACATAAAATTTTCCAGTGTGTAGTCTTATACTCAATTTTATGTAATATAAAATTTACCATCTTCATTTTGAAGTGTACAGTTGAGTAGTGTTAAGCACATTCACGTGGTTGTGTGACCCCTCTCCAGAATTCATCTTGCCCAACTAAAACTCTGTTCCCGTTATGTTCCCATTAAACAAGTCCCCATCCCCTCCCACCTCAGCCCCGGCAACCACCGTTCTACTTTATACCTCTGGTTTTGACTACTAGGTACCTCACATAAGGAGGTCATGCCGGATCTGTCCTTCTGTCTCTGGCTTATTTCACTTAGCATAATGTCTTCAGGGTTCGTCCATGCAGTAGCAGGTGTCCAAGTTTTCTCCTTTTTTAAGACCGAATAATACTCCTTTGTATGCATACGTCACATTCATCCTTTTCTCCTTTTATCCATCAATGGGCACTTGGGTTGCTCCTGCCTTTTGGTTATTCTGTGGATAATGCTGCTGTGATGATAGGTGTACAAGTATCTTTTGGAAACTTTTGTTTTAATTCCTCTGAGTATATGCCCAGTGGTGGAATTGTTTGATTATACGGCTATTCTATTTTTAAAAAATTTTTTGAGAAACAACCATACTGTGTTCAGAGGCTGATTTCTTGATGGGGAAATATAAAGAGTATAGTTCCCCAACAAGTAATTTTAAAATCAGTCTTGTTTAACATTTTGTTAATTATCTAGAAATGAGCGTTTTGCCATCAAATCTCCATTTGCATGTAATGAAATAATTCCTATTGTATAAAATCTCCATTTGCATGTAATGAAATAATTCCTATTGTATAAAATTTAAGAATGCTGCATGAGTGTGTCTATGTAGACAGAAAAGTGATTTGTAGAACTCAATGTAGGCAAATATACTTTGTGTTTACACATACGCTTTTTTAAGATTTTACTTATGTATTTAGAGAGAGAGCACACAGTGGGGAGGGGCAGAGGGAGAAAGAGAATCTCAAGCAGACTCCCTGCTGAACACGGAGCCCGACGAGGGTCTGGATCTCACCACCCTGAGATCATGACATGAGCCGAAATCAAGAGTCAGAGGTTAACCGACTGAGCCACCCAGGCGCTCCAAAACATACGCTTTTATTACACTTCCTCCCTGAGGCCAGAAGATGTACCCTGGTTATATCAATTAATGCATTCCCTCCACTTAACTAGGGACAAAATACGGAGAACTGATGTGCCAGAGAGCTTCATGTGTCAAAAATGCACACGAACAAGCACACAGACACACGGACACATCTTTTGTCTTGGCTGTTTGTTGCCTACAGAGTAAATTGACCCTCAAATCCTCCATGGTCCAGTCTAGACGCTAGACCAGTGTGTCTCAACTGGGGGCGATTTTGCCAGGAGACATTTGACCATGTCTGGAAGCATTTTTGGTTGTCCCAGCTGGAGGGGTGCTGCTGGAATCTATGAGCAGAGCCCAGGGGTGCTTCCGAACATGCTACAATGCACAGCCCTCCTCCCCAACAGAAAATTATCCAGCCCCAAATGGCAGTAGTGCCCAGACTTTAGGCCCAGACTACCTTGTCAGCATTGTTTCTAGCCTCTTGGTAAATCTGCCATTCCAGCCAGATCCTGGTGCTCCTTATACCCAACACCAGCTGAATTGCTTCCTCCAGGGCCTTTCACCTCAGCGTCCTTCTCCGATGTCAGAGCCCAGCTCAGTCCTCCCACCATCTCCATGAACCTCTCTGGTCTTTCCAGCCACTGCCCTCTTCCTTATCAGACTGCTAATTTGGCACTTAATTAACAATAGAGGGTGGTACCTGTGATCTTCCCAGCATGACTGAAAGCACCTTGAAGGCCATGTTGATATGATTTGATTTGAAAGAGGAAGCCCCACTCCCCCTTATGGACCCCAGCGGGCACCTCTGACCTGACCCTCTGGGGGTTTCCACGGCAGCCCTCCCGCTACCGTGGGCCACAGCGGTTGAGTCAGCACCACGGCTCCGCGGGCACAGCAGTCAAGCACACCGAGAGTCACCTTTGTTGGGGAGTCCTGGCTAGATGGAACCCGAGCCCAGGTGTGAGCCTGGTACCCAGGCGAGTATTCATGCTAAGCCTGGTTTCTTACCCGAGCTCTAAGAAAGGGATGCGGACAAGTACAAAGAAAGGTGCCCATTTTGCCACCAGCGGAGCCCAGGCAGAAGGGTCCATCTTAGGAAGCCTGGGAGACATCCCACTGGGCAGGGCTTGCTCTGCCACAGCTGGACGGACGGAATGCATCCGTGATGGTGGTGATGATATGGTAATGACAGCCATCTTGATGCATTCAGAACGTGTTGTGGGGCAGACGCCAGGCCAGGTGTTTGATATAGATTATCGCGCTCAGTCCTCACCACGGTTCTGGAAGGAAGCTGGAGGACTGAAAGGATAATTTGCCCAAGATCACCCAGCTAACAGAGCAGAGCTGAAATTTTAAACACGGTCCATCTGACTTCAGAGCCTGTGCTCTCAGCCACCACCTCCCTGCCTTGAGTGTGGCCAGGCAGTTCCGCAGGTAAGAATGAGCTATCACTGCTCATGGAAGAGATTCATGCTAGGGAATGCCAAGGCGTGGGGGCCATCCATGTGGGCTCACTTGAGAGGTGGATGACCCAGGGGCTCAGGTGTCTGTTGGGAATCAGGAGCTGGTGTGTCAGGTCCGGCTGCTGGCCTGGTGCCGGAAAGGCCCATGAGGTCTCCGTTAGGGCCACACCCCAGCTACCATGGGGTGCTCTAACCCTTCTTATTTTTGCTTCCCCTCTAGGTGCACTACATCCTTCAGGAGGTGGTGATGGGTGGGATGGTGTTGGAAACCAACATGAATGAAATCGTGGCTCAGATTGAAGCTCAAAACAGGCTGGAGAAATCCGAGGTGAGTGCACAGCTGTACTTTTGCCCCGGCTGGTTCCAAGAGCCTGGGGCAGAAGGAGGAATGGATACATGTGTTGGTTTGTGTTGCTGGGAAACCTTAGGGATGTTTTTGCTCCTCTTTCTTCCTTGAGTCCATCAAAACCAATTGACTTGAAGGCCAGTGCTGAAAATTAAACATGTAAGAATTAAGGTTAAAAGTGTGAACGGAAAAGTCAGATGGCAGAGGAAGACAAACAGCTCTGGGCTTGGGGGCTTATGGCCCATGTTTGTGGTTTGTCATTCCTCCTTTCAAAGCTACACGTTCCCTGGAGGGAGACAGAATGCCCTTCTCAGGTCCCAGCGTGGTTTCCTAGTGCTGTGGCAGTCTGATCTCCCAGCGGCCATTTCTCATGGTGTCTTTCAGAACCTCGGAGTTGCCAGTTGCCTTATTTCCAGTTAGCCTTCTACTCAGCTGCAGTAGAGTATGGGCTGGGTTTGCAAATAACGTACCCCAGCCCACCCCCACATAGTGCTCACAGTCGGGGCACCTGGCTGGCTCAGTCGGTGGGGTGTGTGACTCCTGATCTTGGGGTTGTGAGTTCAGGCCCCACGTTGGGCATAGAGATTACTTTAAAATAAATAA